GGAGACTGGATACAGTGAATGCGGGGTCCGGGGAGAGCGGATATAGTGAATGCGGGGTCCGGGAGAGCAGATATAGTGAATGCAGGGTCTGGGGAGAGCGGATATAGTGAATGCGGGGTCCGGGGAGAGCGGATATAGTGAATGCAGGGTCTGGGATAGAGAGCGGATATAGTGAATGCAGGGTCCGGGGAGAGCGAATATAGTGAATGCAGGGTCCGGGGAGAGCGGATATAGTGAATGCAGGGTCTGGGGAGACCGGATATAGTGAATGCGTGGTCCCGGGAGACTGGATATAGTGAATGCAGGGTCTGGGGAGAGCGGATATAGTGAATGCAGGGTCCTGGGATTAGTAACACTTTAAGGTCATGTGAAGGCAGAGAACCCAATTAGGTAGCTTGGGAACTGAGAAACAGGACAGTATTTAAATTTAAATAGAAATTGCATTAAAATCTGAGTGTGGCAAATCATGCAAAGAAGAACATTAATGAAACAAAGATTCTGGAGGAGAAAGTACAAAATGCAGCTTGAGTCAATTAGGCAGCACTGGACGGTTTCCGTTCTCTCCCCGTGAATGTAGCTACTTAAACCTGTCAGCTTCATTCAGACATATTTTGACATCCAGGATACGTTGTTAATTTCAGAACCCATCTATTTTCCTGGCCGTCATTGAAGTGCTGACTACATTATGCTTGATTGCTATTTTTGGATGGCTTGCTCGCCGCTGAAAATGGCAGAAACCATTATTTTGAAACTGGCTAAATTTGGACAGAACCCACAGATTTCTCTCCCTTTTTTCTAACTAATCACTTGTCTTTAGTGATTGGATAGGCTGTATTCTCATGAATATGAAGGGTCTCGGTGATGTCACTGGTCTCTAGTGATTGGATAGGCTGTATTCTCATGAATATGAAGGGTCTCGGTGATGTCACTGGTCTCTAGTGATTGGATAGGCTGTATTCTCATGAATATGAAGGGTCTCGGTGATGTCATTGGTCTCTAGTAAATGGATAGGCTGTGTTCTCATGAATATTAAGGGTCTTGGTGATGTCACTGGTCTCTAGTGAATGGATAGGCTGCGTTCTCATGAATATGAAGGGACTCGGTGATGTCACTGGTCTCTAGTGATGGATAGGCTGTGTTCTCATGAATATGAAGGGTCTCGGTGATGTCACTGGTCTGTAGTGATGGACAGGCTGCGTTCTCATAGATATGAAGAGTCTCTGTGATGTCACTGGTCTTTAGTGATTGGATAGGCTGTGTTCTCATGAATATGAAGGGTCTCGGTGATGTCACTGATCTCTAGTAAATGGATAGGTTGTGTTCTTATGAATATAAAGGGTCTCGGTGATGTCACTGGTCTCTAGTGAATGGATAGGCTGTGTTCTCATGAATATGAAGGGTGTCGGTGATGTCACTGGTCTCTAGTGATGGATAGGCTGTGTGCTCATGAATATGAAGGGTCTCGGTGATGTCACTGGTCTCTGATAAATGGATAGACTGCATCCTCATGAATATAAAGTTTTAGTAATGTCACTGGACTCATTTTCTGTGGAGTATGAAGTGTCTTGGGTAGGCTGAGTTGCAATGAATATGAAGCTTCTTTGTGATGTTATGTTAAAACTGGTCTCATGTGAATGTATATTCTGCATTCTTCTTGAACCGTCTATGTGATATCTTTGGTCTTTAGAGTATTAACAGACTGGGTTGTCTTAAAAGCATTTAGGCAAACAAAAATGGCTGTAATTACTCTGAGGAAGCACAAGGCACTCTTTTATATACTTTGTATCGGGAAGACATGATAAATGTTTTTTCTCCCATGGCAGCTACAGCATTCCATTACCACTCTATATAGATACGCTGGACATCAACAACACATACGCAAAGGCTGATTTCTAATGCGAAGAATGAGCTGAGAGATCTTTAATATTAATGTTCTAGGTCAGCTGGCTTTGAATCATCGCATTTGAGCTCCAGTGTAATTAGAGTAGGTTGTCTCTGCTTGCAGCTGCATTAACTTTTTGACAAGCCAAGCACGAACATCTTGGTGCAGGCCGATTTTTGAAGCTGGGCCTTGAAGTGTGTCTGATGGGAGCCTGTTCCCGTCAGAATGTGGTTCAAAAGGCAACTGAATTTACATTAGTCATCACCTACTCCCTCTTTTAAGTATTTAAAGGACACTGATTCTGTCTGCTAAAAGAAACTTCCACTTAAATGTATTATAGTAATTGTGTGGGAGGAAGGAAATGAGCAAAGGCTTTATGTAACAAAATATTTATTGAACAATCACATCAGTCCCTAACCCTCAAGGGGTGTACAATCTAAGGTCCCCAACTTATATTAAGACATACACATATTAGGACCAATTTAGACAGGATCCAATTAACCTTTGACCTTACTAACATCGAGGAAGTCTCCAAGATCCTCTCTGATGCCCGCCTCACCACCTGCCCCCTCGACCCCATCCCCTCACAACTCCTACAACCTCCCTCCCCCTCCATCCTACGCTCCCTCACCCACATCTTTAATCTCTCCCTCTACTCCGGCACTTTCCCCTCCCCTCTGAAACATGCACATATCACCCCCATACTTAAAAATCCCTCCCTGGACCCCAATGACCCGAACAACCTCAGACCCATCTCCCTGCTCCCATTCACATCCAAACTCCTCGAGCGCCTAGTCTACACCCGCCTAAGCTCTCACCTCAACAACAACAACCTCCTCGATCCCCTACAGTCCAGCTTCCGTCCCCTACACTCCACCGAAACCGCCTTACTCAAACTCTCCAACGACCTTCTAACCGCCAAAGCTAATGGCCACTATTCAGTGCTCCTACTCCTCGACCTCTCTGCGGCCTTCGACACAGTCGACCACCCCCTCCTCCTCAAAAAACGACACTCCCTCGGCCTCAGAGATTCTGCTCTCTCCTGGCTCTCATCCTACCTGTCACAACGCTCTTTCACCGTCACCTATAATGCTACCACCTCCCCCTCTCTGTTGGGGTCCCTCAAGGCTCTGTCCTCAGGCCCCTTCTCTTCTACACCTCCTCCCTTGGCCAACTCATACACTCTCACGGCTTCAACTACCACCTCTATGCCGACAACACACAAATCTATCTCTCAACCCCCCACCTCACCCCCTCAGTCTCTGCCCGAATCACACACCTACTGAGCGACATATCAGATTGGATGTCGCTCCACTTCCTTAAACTGAACCTCTCCAAAACCGAGTTTCTTGTCTTCCCCCCAGCCCACACACCACCCCCCACTGACTTCTCCATCACATCCAACAACGCCACCATCAAACCCGCCCTGCAAGCCAGAGTACTTGGTGTCATTCTGGACTCCAACCTATCCTTCCAGCCCCAAGTCCAATCTTGAACAAACTCATGCAGACTCCACCTCCGCAACATCGCCAAAATCCGCACGTTCCTAACCCCAGAAACCACTAAACAGCTCATCCACTCCCTCATCATATCACGACTGGACTACTGCAACTCCCTCCTCACTGGCCTGCCTCGCCGCTGGCTATCCCCGCTTCAGTCGATCCTGAATATGGCAGCCAGACTCATTCACCTTTCCAACCGCTCCATCTCCGCCCCCCCCTCTGCCTTCCGATTGCGCAACGGATCAAATTCAAAATCCTAACACTGACGTACAAAGCCGTCCACCATACTTCCCTGAACTACATCACTGACCTAATATCCAAGTACCACCCAACACGCACACTCCGCTCCTCACAAGACCTCCTTCTCTCTAGTTCCCTGGTCTCCTCCTCCCATGCCCGCCTCCAGGACTTCTCCAGGGTGTCACCCATCCTCTGGAACTCCCTGCCCCAACCCATCAGATTATCACCTACTCTCCTCTCCTTTAGGCGCACCCTGAAAACCCATCTCTTCAGGGAAGCCTACCCCACCCCCTGCTAACTTGCCGACCTCCTCCACTCTTCCTACCACTCCATCCCCCACAGCTATCTCCTCCTGTGCCACCATCCCCTCCCTCCTAGATTGTAAGCTCCAAGGAGCAGGGCCCTCAATCCCCTCATGTTTTGCATTGTATTGGTATTGTTCTGTCACATGTTCTGTCCCCCTCTGTAATGTACAGCGCTGAGCGAACTATTGGCACTTTATAACTACTGTATAATAATAACCTACCAGCATGTCTTTGGAGTGTGGGAGGAAACTGGAGCACCCGTAGAAAGCCCACGCAGGCACAGGGAGAACATGCAAACTCCATGCAGGAGGTGCCATCGTTGGGAATCGAACCCATAACCCATTTAGTGCAAGGCAGATGTGCTAACCACTAAGCCACTGTGCCGCCCCACATACTTATCTAGGTGGATTGATCCCCCGTCAGCTTTAATTGTGAGAACTCAGCGATCACATGACCGCTGATCACTGAGATCTCACAGCCGCTCTGAGCAGAGTGTGGGACTGTCAGTCTCCACTGTCTGCTCCCCCCCCCATGCTCACTGGAGCGCTGGGATGTGCTGACTCAGGCTCTTAGCCGATTGTTGAGAGGCTAACCCAGACTCTGGGGTGGATCCCGCCTTTATCCACAAGCCTACAGGGCACTTATACCCCCTTCCTGCCCAGGCCAATTTCCAGCGCTGTTGCACTTTGAATGACAATTGCGCGGTCATGCAACACTGTACCCATATGACATTTTTATAATTTTTTTTGTGACAGATAGAGCTTTATTTTGGTGGTATTTAATCACCTCTGGGTTTTTAATTTTTTCTTAAACAAACCAAAAACCACTGACATTTTTTTTTTTAAAGTTTTTTTCTTAGTTTTTGTTATAAAATTTTGTAGATAAGTGATTTTTCTCCTTCTCTGATGTGCGCTAATGAGGCTGTAGTTATGGGCACTGATAGGCTGCACTGATGGACACTGATAGGTGGCACTGATGAGGAGGCACTGGTAGGTGGTACTGATGGGCATTGACAGGCATCACTGATGGGCACTGAAAGGCAGCACTGATAGGCGGCACTGATAGGCGGCACTGACTGGCACTGTTAGGCGGTACTGACAGGCACTGATAGGCGGCACTGATGGGCACTGATAGGTGGCACTGATAGGTGGCACTGATAGGCATTGATAGGTGGGCACTAACGGCTGACACTGAAAGGCAGCTCAGATGGGCACTGATATGTGGTATTGATGTGGCACTGATCAGCACTGGCACATGGCACTGATGAGCATTGACAGGTGGCACTACTGGGGCTACATTGATTGAAAGGGCACACTGATCATCAGTGCTCTGATGATCAGTGTACATGTCCCCTCCGAGGAATGCTGATTACCGGCTCTCCTCTCCTCTGTCAGCGTGACAGTTCGGGAGGAGAGAAATGCCGATAACCGCCATTTCCCTGTTTACATGTGATCAGCTGTGATTGGACACAGCTGATCACATGACCGAGCCAACATCTTCGGCTCTTTCCGTGGATCGGTGATCCGCAGTGTCCGAGGGACACAGCGCACCGCCGATCGCTGTGCTGCGCACTCCGGGAGCCGCGCATGCGCGGTGAGAATGGGAGGACATCATATGACGTCCTCCCAGAATGAGAGAACCACCTTGTGTCCGTCATATTACTATATGGCGGGTGGGAGGTGGTTAAAGTTGGGATCTTTCCCCAGCCTGGACTGGCTGAGTGACGTCAGCCAACAGCAGGCTTCAGCCAGCTGTCAGCTGAAAACAGACCACAGGAGTGCTGAACGAACTGCACTCCTGTGATCCGCGGGAGAAGTACAGCCAGAGTTTTCTGCAGCAATGTTTTAACCACTTTCCCTCCAGAGGATTTACCCCCCAAGCTATTTTTTGCATTACGGCGCTGTTACTTTAACTGACAATTGCGCGGTCATGCAATGTTGCACCCAAATTAAATTTATGTCCTTTTTTTCTTTATGAATTGAGCTTTCTTTTAGTGGTATTTGATCTCCTGTGCGATTTTTATTTTTTGCGCTATAAAAAAAAAAAAGACAATTTTGAGAAAAAAACTGTATTTTTGACTTTTTGCTATTAAACATGTCCAGTGAAAAAATTAAAAAAATCTAAATTTGTCCTAAATTTACACCAAAATGTATTCTGCTCCGTGTCTTTGCTAAAAAAAAAATCCCAATACGTGTAAATTAATTGGTTTACGTGAAAGTTATAGCATTTACAAATGGAGGTATAGATACTGGAATTTTTATTTTATTTTTAATTTTTACTAGTGCTGGTGTGTATTGGATCATTGGCCGGCTGCATAATCCAAGTGCGTTTGAGGTCAGGAATTGATGGCCGGACATTCTCCTTCAGGATTGTCTGGTAGAGTGCAGAATTCGTGGTTCCATCAATTATGGCAAGTTGTCCAGTTCCTGAAGCTGCAAAGCAGTCCCAGACCATCACACTACCACCAACCGTGTGTGACTGTTGGTAGTTGGTAGTTTTACGCCAGATGTAACGGGACGCACACCTTCCAAAAAGATCAACTTTTGTCTCATCAGTCCATAGAATATTTGCCCAAAAGTCTTGGGGATAATCAAGATTTTTTTTTTGGAAATGTGAGATGAGCTGTTGTGTCCTCTTCGGTCAGCAGTGGCTTTCGCCTTGGAACTTTTCCATGGCCATTTTTGCCCAGTCTCTTTCTTATTGTTGAATCACAAACACTGACTGTAACTTAGGCAAGTGAGGCCTGCAGTTCTTTAGATGTTGTTCTGACTTTTTTTATGACCTCCTGGATGAGTTGTTGTTCTGCTCTTGGAGTAATTTTGGTAGGCTGGCCACTCCTTAGAAGGTTCACCACTGTCCAATGTTTTCTCCATTTGTGGATAATGGCTCTCACCATGGTTCGCTGGAGTCCCAAAGCTTTAGATATGGCTTTGTAACCCTTTCCAGACTGATACATGTCAATTACTTTGTCTCTCTTCTGTTCTTGAATTTCTGATCTTGAATAAATCGTGGCATGATGTGTTGCTTTTTGAGATCTTTTAGAGTGCTTCACTTTGTCAGACAGCTTTACTTTTTCACATAGGGCCTGGCAGGTTTGGACAGTTCTTTTCTCTTGATAAATGAAATCATCATTTATAAACTGCATTTTGTGTTTACTTGAGTTATCTTTGTGTGTTATATTAAAATTCGTTTGATGATCTGAATCATTTAAGTGTGACAAATATGCAAAAAAATATATAATATCAGAAAGGGGGCAAGTACTTTTTCACAGCACTGTAGGGGGCTAGAGGACCTCAGTTATGAGGAACAACTACAAATATTAAACGTATTCTTCCTGGAGGGGATATAATAGTGATATACAAATATCTTAACCCCCTTGGCGGTATTCTCGAGTGTAGCTCGGTGTTAACTTTCAGTACCAGAAGCGGTAACCCCCCCAAGCTACACTCAGGATTACCCTGCAGCGTTGCTCAGGGATCCCTTCTGCACTTACCTTGTCCTGCGCTCCTGCGATGCCCCCCCTGCAGCATCCCCGGCCATCTCCTCTGGCCGATGCCGGCATCCGTCTTTCGGGTTCCATTCCCTGCAAGTGTCGGGAAGTACGGGGGAAGGAACCGGCGGGAGATTAAAAAATGTAAAAAGTCACATTCACTCAATACACTAAAGTCTCATAGTAAAACTGTAACAAACCGGACCCCGACTGCACTTGGGTATTTCCATTATAATACTGCTTCCCCATCCGAACACCATCCACGGACCCCACCGCTGGCCATACAAGACTAGACAAGATCAGTCTTCAAATAAATCAGGAAATAGACTCCTTTATTTTAACACAGATAAAAGATATATACATTCAAGGGAACAATTCCCCCCTCCCTACATAATGACACAGGGCAGGGCAAACCAAAACTAGCAACAAGAGACACATCAGCAGACACCCCCCCACCAAGCCAATACAAAAACACATACATCCCATAATAGTTTGCTCCCTAGCAAGACACACAATAGAACAATGGGATACAACCACATGGCATTAAACAATGAACAACCCCCCACCCCACCTATACATATCTGCACAATATTAGGACATCGCCCTGCACCCCTAACAGGCACAGGGTGACTTACAAATAATAGGGATATGGGGAGCTGAGACAGGAGTCTCCCCACCCCTCCAAAGTGAGCTGTGTTCCATGGGCCCCCCACCCAAAGTGACTCCCGTCACAAAAACAAAAAATTACTGTATCAAACCATTTCACATACATTTTGTCCCGAGTGCTTTGTCCGGCGCCCTGCCTGTATTTTTACTGTTCTTTCTGCCTGGAAACTGAGAAACGTCCATGGCGTCCAAAAAGCGTCCCTTTAGGTCAAAAGCGGTTTTAGAGCGGCTAGAGAACAGCGATAGTAAATCAGAACCACTTGCAGAATTGAGTGATAATGATTTGTGGGGGAAATTCCTCATCAGACACTGAAAACGATTCTGCGACTGAGCTCAGCGATGTGCGAACTTGGCGCTATATTTCACATTTCAGTGTTTTTGGTTTGATTATATTATTGAATTAAATGTATTATTATTATATTATTTTTTATGATTATTTATTATTTTATAATTTATGATTTCGTGTTTCAAATTTTATCATCCCCGGGATGTTTACTAGACTCTTGTTCGGACAGATTTCAGTGAGTTATTCCTACAAATTACAGGCCTACAATAAAAAAAAATACATATTTCCATGCAAAAAATGTACCGCTTTGAGCACAGAAATACTGACATAATCAGACCGCTAGGGAGGTTAATATTTTAATTAAAAAAAATTGCCTTTAAAACCAATTTAATTGCTCAGTTGGATCTAGGGGCAGAAAAGCAGTTTTGAAATACTGACATAATCAGATCGCTCGGGAGGTTAATGGTGATTCTAGCATAGGGAGGAAGCTATTCAGTCTCAGGTCACTTAACAGGACACGTGACCACTCAATGAAGTTGAACCTTAAACTACGTAAGGGGTTCTTTATTGTCTGAGCGGTAAGGATGCAGAACTCCCTTCCAATGTGGGTGGTGTCTGCAGGGAGCATTGAAAATTTCAAAAAAACTCTTAGATGGGCATCTTAGTGAGTGCAATATACAGGGATATGGGAAATGGTATTAGCATAAACACACCCACACAGGTTGAACCGGATGGACTGGTGTCTTTGTTCAACCTCACGAACAATGTAATTATGTAACAACATTTCTTATAAACGTGAGATGCAACATCTAGCAGTTTCTTCTCACTATCACGTAGAACGGCACGGGATAACATTGCCACGAAACCTCACACCTAATGAAGCCAGGGCGGGGCTTAATGGACGTGACATCAGGACGTTCCTCGGAACTGTCGGCGGGGATACCGCGGTGAGCAAGGCTCGCCCTTTGGATTTTGTGTGGCGTGTATTGCTGGTGTCGGCTTTAGACACCATATTTGTGAGTTCAAATTTGGCATTTAATAAAGCTGATGGTTTTTAAGAACGTATTGCATTCAGGGGCAGACTGACAACTCATGGGACCCCCGGGCAATAGGGGATCATGGGGCCCCTGTGTCCTTGCCCAAACTCAAAAAAGCCTATGAAAAAGGTACCAGGGGCATCTCATGGGGCCCCCTACTGACCCTGGGCCCTCAGGCAGTGCCCGAGTTTCCAAATGGTCATCCACCCCTGATTGCACTATTATATTTCTTTTTAATTCCCCGAGTATTACCTTTATGGAGAGAGAGAGGAGGTCCATTTGATTTCACAGTTCCCTCATCCATACGGATTTGCTGATTGCAGAGTATTGCTCCCTTATTTTGGAAACCTCAACAGATCATCGCTCCCAGAGCAATAGCAATTGTGCTGATTTATAATTTGATCAGCATATCGCTCTGGTGAGTTTATTTAACCATTAGCCGCCCGGCCTATAGCCGTTTGGCGGCCGCAAAAATGCTTCAGCATTCCGGGTGCATGCCATATGGCGTCCTCCCGCACATGCGCAGTTCGCGCGGTTGCAGAGCCGCGCAGCGGTGCGATCTGTCACTGGCCGTGTACCTCGGACACGGCCGATGACAGATCTGAGTACCGGCCCCCGTTGCCGGTACCATGTGACCTGCTGTGACCAATCACAGCTGGTTACATGACAGTTGTATACAATGGATGGCTTCATTCATGCCATCCATTGTATACTAGTGCCTAGCTGTGAATGGTCACAGCAGGTCACATGCACATGTCATGTGGTTAGCTGTGGCCAAATCAAAGCTAAGCACAAAAAAAAAAAAAAAAAAAAAACCCGAATGAATCGATTTCATTCAGGTAAATGCTTGCTTATAGCAAAGTAATTCTTTGCTATAAGCAAACTGTGTAAAAAAAAAAAAAAATACTGATCACTTCCCCAAAGTAGTACAATGTTACTATGGTAACATTGTACTACTTTGGTCATAGTAAAATATGAAATAAAAATCTTAAAAAAAAATATAAAAAAAGTAATAAAAAATTAAAAATAATAAAAAAAAATATATATATATATATATTTTTTTTTTTCATACTGTCACCAGTCAGTGTCCCTGTTCACTGCCATGCCAGTTATATGATGACGCTTTACTGCACTGGTGACAGTATGTAAAAAAAAAAATAGTGAAAATTATTTTTTTTAATTTTTTAATTTTCCGAAAAATTATGACAAAAAAATACAACTTCAAAAAACTCGCCATTCCTCTTATAAAGTACGTCGGACTGTCTACTCTGCAAAAAGGGGTCATTTGGGGGATATCTGTACTGTCCTGACATTTGGGAGATATATGTACTGTCCTGACATTTGGGGGATATCTGTACTGTCCTGACATTTGGGGGATATCTGTACTGTCCTGACATTTGAGGGATATCTGTACTGTCCTGACATTTGGGGGATATCTGTACTGTCCTGACATTTGGGGGATATCTGTACTATTCTGACATTTGGGGGATATCTGTACTGTCCTGACATTTGGGGGATATCTGTACTGTCCTGACATTTGGGGGATATCTGTACTGTCCTGACATTTGGGGGGATATCTGTACCGTTCTGACATTTGGAGGATATCTGTACTGTCCTGACATTTGGGGGATATCTGTACTGTGCTGACATTTGGGGGATATCTGTACTGTCCTGACATTTGGGAGATATATGTACTGTCCTGACATTTGGGGGATATCTGTACTGTCCTGACATTTGGGGGATATCTGTACTGTCCTGACATTTGGGGGATATCTGTACTGTCCTGACATTTGAGGGATATCTGTACTGTCCTGACATTTGGGGGATATCTGTACTGTCCTGACATTTGGGGGATATCTGTACTATTCTGACATTTGGGGGATATCTGTACTGTCCTGACATTTGGGGGATATCTGTACTGTCCTGACATTTGGGGGATATCTGTACCGTTCTGACATTTGGAGGATATCTGTACTGTCCTGACATTTGGGGGGATATCTGTACCGTCCTGACATTTGGGGGATATCTGTACTGTCCTGACATTTGGGGGATATCTGTCCTGTCCTGACATTTGGGGATATCTGTACCGTCCTGATATTTGGGGGATATGTGTCCTGTTCTGACATTTGGGGGATATCTGTACTGTTCTGGCATTTGGGGGGATATCTGTACCGTGCTGACATTTGGGGGATATCTGTACTGTCCGGACATTTGGGGGATATCTGTACTGTCCTGACATTTGGGGATATCTGTACTGTTCTGACATTTGGGGGGTATCTGTCCTGTTCTGACATTTGGGGGATATCTGTACCGTCCTGACATTTGGGGGATATCTGTCCTGTCCTGACATTTGGGGGATATCTGTACCGTCCTGATATTTGGGGGATATGTGTCCTGTTCTGACATTTGGGGGATATCTGTACTGTTCTGGCATTTGAGGGATATCTGTAGTATTCTGACAATCTGGGACCTCAAGAAATTAGTACTTAGTAATCAGTACTTCAGGATTGGTCAATATTCAGATCTGTACCATAGTTTGTGAACTCTATAACTTTCCTACAAACTAAATAATACATCCTAATTTGGGTTATTTTCACCAAAGACATGTAGCAGAATACATCTTGGCCTAAATTTATGAAGAACATTTATTTATTTGTTAGCTTTTATAACAGAAAGAAAGAAAAACGTGTTTTTTTTCAAAATTTTTGGTCTTTTTTTGTTAATTTAGCAAAAAATAAAAACCCCGGCGGTGATTAAATACCATCAAAAGAAAGCTCTAGTTGTGTGAAGAAAATGATAAAATTTTAGTTTGGGTACAATGTTGTATGACTGCGCAATTGTCATTCAAAGTGTGAGAGTGCTGAAACCTGAAAAATGGCCTGGGCAGGAAGGGAGAAAATTGCCCGGTATTGAAATGGTTAATTTATTCGGCGGTGGATTTCCTCATGGTGTCAATTGATTATACCAAGATTGAGGCATTATATATCACTTTCTGGTGGTTGGACTTTATATATAATTTGTGGACATTTTTGAGTTTTTTGCACTTTTTTTTATCGTTTGGCATTTGATACTTTATTTGATATTTTAAGCGCATCTTTTCATTTTTGATTATTCACACCTGTATTTGGTTAAGGGTTGCAGCTGAGTTGGAGATTCCTTTTTGGCTCTTTTCTCAATTATTATACATTTGAGAATCAGCCCGAATATTATTCCATCAATGTTATGCTGGCCTGGTGACCCCCTGTGTTCGCTCCGAAACACAACCAAGTTCAGGAAATGTTTAATAAATTAGGAATTAATTTTATCTATAAATTTGATGTAAGCAAGAGCTCGCTGTTGTTAAAAGATGACCTCGTTAAATGATGCTGTGATCCACAGGAATGATCTTCTTTTATTAACGTTGATAATCATAGGATGACTTGCTTTGTTATCAGCTTCCTAATGTTTCAGGGAACTATAACACAAACTGAAAAAAAGACATAAAATGACAGCTAAAAATACACGAGAGAGAGCAGGAGTGGGTGGTCTGATTACTGTTTAATGGAGCAATTGTTAACACCGAGCGCATTTGATGTGTGGGGGGATTCCAACTGGCAACATGTGACAGAAATGCATCGGCGGGTGTCTTTTTGTAATACCTCAACAATATTACTTCTTTCCAGGTACCCCTGGGAGCAGTCTATGAAAGCTTTTCAGGAGTTTTCTGCGCAACTTCACACCACTTTACTGGCTGTGCAGGTAAGTAGGGATTATTAGCACTGATTCTTACAGAACCGTTCAAACTGAAGTTTTATCTACTTATATTTTGTCTTCACTGGTTCAGGGATGGATCTATGGGGGTGCTGGGGTGGGCTGTGCCCCTCCAGATTTTGGTCTTGCCTCTACCACACCCACCCAGGACCAGTGGCATCAGCAGGGCTGACCCTATAATGAGGCACTGAAGCCCAGCCCAACCACCTCAGTGCGCATAACAAAAGAATAAAATGACAGTGTTTGCACCCCCAGATCAGACGCTAGATCTTCCCCCTTATCAACATTCTAATGACATTTTTAAATAAAGCCTTTCCAGTTTCATTACATATCTTATTTTGTAGCCAGTGATGTCATCACTGGGTTTCTGTACTTCTCTATGCAATGCATTCAGGTGGCTGATGGGAGGGGCCTCGGTACTTTTTTCAACAGTCCTCAGCCCTGATAAAAGTCGTGGGCTGACTTTTGGGAGGAGTTATGCAAATATCAATAGGGGAGGGGCCTCAGTACTTTTCTCAACAGTCCTCAGCCCTGATACAAGTCGTAGGCTGACTTTTGGGAGGAGTTATGCAAATATCAATAGGGTAGGGGCCTCAGTACTTTTCTCAACAGTCCTCAGCCCTGATACAAGTCGTGGGCTGACTTTTGGGAGGAGTTATGCAAATATCAATAGGGTAGGGGCCTCAATACTTTTCTCAACAGTCCTCACCCCTGATACAAACTGTGGGCTGACTTTTGGGAGGAGTTATGCAAATATCAATAGGGGTGGGGCCTCAGTACTTTTCTCAACAGTCCTCAACCCTGATACAAGTCGTAGACTGATGTTTGGGAGGAGTTATGCAAATATCAATATGGGAGGGGCCTCAGTACTTTTCTCAACAGTCCTCAACCCTGATACAAGTCGTAGACTGACGTTTGGGAGGAGTTATGCAAATATAAATATGGGAGGGGCCTCAGTACTTTTCTCAACAGTCCTCAGCCCTGATACAAGTCGTGGGCTGACTTTTTGGGAGGAGTTATGCAAATATTAATATGCCTTGATGTGTGGATATCAGACTGCAGGAGCGGGTTTTCCTAGGCAGCTTCATTATCATTCAGGCCATCTTAGGTAACGACCACATGTGATGCCGAGCTGCCATGATTGTAGCCAGTGATGTCATCACTGGGTTTCTGTACTTCTCTATGCAATGCATTCAGGTGGCTGATAGGAGGGGCCTCAGTACTTTTCTCAACAGTCCTCAGCCCTGATACAAGCTCTGGGCTGACTTTTGGGAGGAGTTATGCAAATATCTATATGCCTTGATGTGTGGATGTCAGTCTGGAGGAGCAGGTGTTCCTAGGCACAGGGGTGTATGTACCACAAGGCAAACAAGGAACTTGCCTAGGGTGGCATTTTTCAGGGGCCAGCACCTCCCCCCCAGAAGAAGGAATGAAAGAAGGGATACGGGCTCCATTGGAACCAGGTGGGATCCAAGAGAGGCTGTAGGCTGCTTGATGGTGTATGTAGAGCCTGGCTCTTGTTCCTGGGAATGTCCGGAGATGAAGATGAGTGTCTTTCTCTCTATCGCTGGGGGGTGGGGAGGGTAGTAGAAGGCTCTTCCAGGTGGGGGTGGTGTTGGCCAATGTCAGGTTCTCTCCACAGGAGGGAGAAGGGGGGTTGGTGTTGGTTGGTGTCCATGGGGGCAGATGCTTTTTGTGTTGCCTAGGGCACTTCCACTTACTTGAAAAAAAAAATGCCTAGGCAGCTTCATTAGCATTCATACCACCTTAGGTAATGCCCATGTGTGATGCTGAGCCGTCATGATTGAAAGAACTGAAATCCAATGAATGAAAGGGGCAAGTCAGGTATAGTAAGGCTGGGGAGAATAGGGCTAGATGATGCTGGACATTCTCCAGCCAAGAAATAAATGGGCACTCTCTAACTTCCAATGCAGTTTTATTACAGGAGAGGAGCCTGTACAATACTGGAAGACTGAAGGTAAAAATGGAAACTAACTGGCCTGAAAAATAAAATAGGCTATCCCTTCCCATTCCATCTGTCTTCCAATTAAAATGGTAAATTACGTAAAAGTCTTCACATTATAAAACAAAAGTAATGATCATCTTCCCAGCTCCAGGCAACCTTTAGCTCCAGACAACCTTTCAGTCTTGCAGCTCCTAGTCCTCTCAGAGCCAACATGAATATGCCATGTCCAACCTGATCTCGATCCAGTGATGTGCTTGAGAGCAGCGGCTCTTTCTGCTCTCTCCCTCGCCATTGGCTCCTGCTGCTGTCAATCCTTGTGATGAGGGAGCAGGGGTGGGGCCAAGCCACACTGTCTGTATCTTCAGACTGCTAGGGAGGTTAATATTTTAATTAAAACAAAATTGCCTTTAAAACCAATTTAATTGCTCAGTTGGATCTAGGGGCAGAAAAGCAGTTTTCCTTACCTGATCCAACACTTCCCCGGCAGACGATGCTCCCACATGCTCCAGCAGTGGACTGTTCCTCATCATCCTCCCCTCCAGTGTGGGACTATGGTTACTGCAATGGTCTTGATGATGTCAGGGGATCTTAGACCATTGGAGAATGGGAAAGGAGAGGCAGCAGGGACCGGTCTACAGCTTGCAGGAATGGGGAATTGGGAAAGTTAAAGTGCCCTTTAAAGTCCCCTAGACAGAAATGACAAGTTAACACTGCAAAGTAGGACCTTTCAGTTTTCTGGTTTCAACTCCTACAAATCAACCACACTGCCTGGATTTTCACAGGCCATTCAGACTATGGGGATAGTAAGACTACAGGGATTTAGCGGGTAGCGCATCCAGATGCAAAGGATGGAGGTCAGGAAGAAAATTAGGCCCCATGTACACGGGACGTTTCTGAATGATGGAAACTGACTGCTGGAAAACATAGGTAAAAAATGTCTGTTTAGCCGCATTTGCATAACGCGTTTATGGGCGTTTTAAAGATAAGCACAGGAGAATCTCCCAAATGCCCAGAATGCACTGAAAAGTGGTAAATTATTAACTATTTCAGACTATTTCAGAGAAATACAGAGAGTAGAAGCAGAGACAGCAGTATGTGTTGAGATTAGCTTAGATGTGAGTTGCTCATTAACATTTCTTTGGTTTCCAATGGTGGGAAAGGTGTCTGGTGGAGGGAGTCATTAAGGTCAAATGGCAGGGGGTCTTCATGAGGAATTTTAGGTGGGAATAGTCATTAACATATGTGACGGGAGTGACTTTTGGGGGTGGGGGGACCTCTGTATCATCTCCCCAAATCATTATGTTTAACCCACCCTGTGCCTGTTTAAGGGTACAGGGTGTACATGTGAATGTCTGAGTCTTGTGTATAGTGTGTGTTCCTTTGTTCTCGGTCACATGGTTGTCCTTTGTTTGTTTGCCATGTGCTACCCCTCATTGTGCTGTGTCTTCCTGTCCAGCCAACTATTATGGGATGTACTGTTTGTGTATTGGTGTGGGGGTTGGTCAGTGCCCTTTGCCATGTGCTTCATCCCATTGTTCTGTGTCTGGGTGGGATGGGGAGGGGTGATGATGTATTTCCTGTTCCTGGTTGTGTTTCCCCGCCCTCTGTATATATTCTGTGTTTTGTGTTACAATAAATAGTTGGCTTTCTGTTTAAGAAGAGCTGGGTGCGGTCTATTTCCTGAGGGATTTCAAGGGTGTGGTCCGTGGATGGTGTTCGGACAGGGGAAGCTGCGATATAACGGAATATACCCAAGTGCGGTCGGGTACCGGTTCCGTTACAACATATCTTTTTGTTTCCAAGGGTGGGAGAGGACTGAGGTGTGAATGGTCATTAACATATCTTTTGTTTCCAAGGGTAGGAGAGGTCTGAGGTGTGAATGGTCATTAACATATCTTTTGTTTCCAAGGGTGGGAGAGGTCTGAGGTGTGAATTGGTCATTAACATATCTTTTGCTTCCAAGGTTGGGAGAGGTCTGAGGTGTGAATTGGTCATTAACATATCTTTTGTTTCCAAGGTTGGGAGAGGTCTGAGGTGTGAATTGGTCATTAACATATCTTTTGTTTCCAAGGTTGGGAGAGGTCTGAGGTGTGAATTGGTCATTAACATATCTTTTGTTTCCAAGGGTGGGAGAGGTCTGAGGTGTGAATTGGTCATTACAATGTGTGACAAGCTTGGTAGGAACACCCTGTGTTCAGTGTTTTGTCCATCTGAGCACCCTGAAAACTCTTTGCATGCATTTTTCATGATGAAAAAAGGCTCTGGACAGCATTGGGAACTGGAAGAGTTAAAAAAAAAATTTCAAACGCAAATGCTTATAAATGTGATTTGCCGCATTTAGCCGCGTTTAGCATTTGCGTTTGAAACGCTGATAACATCGACTTCAGAACGCAAGTTTGTTGCGTTAAAAAGAATGACTGTAAACTCAACTGCCTGTAAATGACTGTAGAGGACGATGTGTACACGGACACATAGGAAAACATTATGGTGAGTTCAGGGGCTGCTGGAAAAAAAACGCTGAACAGCTCCTAAACGTGAGTTTATCAGCTCCAGTGTACATGGAGCCCTTAGGACCAATAAGTTAGGTTCAGCTTATAGGAAACAATTTGTCTGACTGCAATGTACCTTCAATCCATTATTTTTTCATTTTAAATATAAAGTGTCCAAGAAGATTGCAGAGCGGAGAGACGCTCAGAGCTCAGTAAATACACAGCAGCCGGCAGTATAGAATTATACAATTAGAGTTTAGATACAAGGTCAAACCTTTCTCCTCTTCCAGCTTTTCGGAGTCCTTTTACCGTTTCCCCACAATCTTCAGACAGATTTACAAATCTTATTATTCAAACATTGTCTGTGGTTGTATTTTTCATCCTAATTAGCCTTGGAACGCTGATCGGCCTTGACAGCTTGGCTGTAATTTCAATCCAATTTTTCTCTTCGCAAAAGTTTCTGCTTTTCTTCATGAAGGGCAGCAAAGTATTGACGTGAAAAGCCGGCATTTAGAAACTTTGTCGGATTTATTAATCCTTTCCGTGCTATAGTGATTCATGGCAAGGGCAACGGCGGTCGTAATCCGATTGTTTTTGGCTTTACTAGGTGGAATAAGAAAGGGTTTTGGGCAGGGGCGGACTGACAACTCATGGGGCCCCCGGGCAATAGGGGATCATGGGGCCCCTGTGTCCTTGCCCAAACTCAAAAAAGCCTATGAAAAAGGTACCAGGGGCATCTCATGGGGCCCCCTACTGACCCCAGGCCCTCGGGCAGTGCCCAAGTTTCCAAATGGTCAGTCCGCCCCTGGTTTTGGGTCTATTACAAAAGCAGGTATCGGTCTGTCTGTGGGACAATGCTGCTTCTGTGTGTTGAGGAAACAACCGGACATTGCAAGGGGGTTGATTTACTAAAGGCAAATATTCTGTGCACTTTGCAAAGGCAGTTGCACTCTACAAAGTGCAGTTGCTCCAGAGCTTAGTAATTGAGGGGAAGCTTTGCTGACTTCTATCATCCAATCATGTGCAAGCAAAAATAATGTTTTTCTTGCATTTGGTTGGGTATTGTTGTGAAGCTTCGCCTCATTTACTAAGCTCTGGCGCAACTGCGCTCGCAAAGTGCACTGTCTATTTGCCTTTAGTAAATCAACCCCACTGTAATTCATTTAAAAATTGAAGACATCCAGATCCTTGTGTTCTAATAATGCAACACGTCTGCTTGGAAGGTATCTTTGCAGCCCACTCCAGGAATTTTACAAAATTGACCTTTGCAATGGCAACCCCCTCCCCGGATTTTCAAGAGTTAGATGCTTATTAAGTCTAGGCAGTAGAGGAATGAGTTGGTATCAGGGGCGGACTGACCATTTGGAAACTCGGGCACTGCCCGAGGGCCCGGGGTCAGTAGGGGACCCCATGAGATGCCCCTGGTACCTTTTTCATAGGCTTTTTTGAGTTTGGGTAAGGACACAGAGGCCCCATGATCCCCAATTGCCCGGGGCCCCATGAGTTGTCAGTCCGCCCCTGGATACACCCCGTCTTTAGAGCTAGTTTGACTCTTTAGCCATACCAGAAAAGAGTCCACTCCATCTGGTGAATTGGATCGTCAATCACGGATGGTGTGAACACTTTTTTTGAAGAGTTTGTTGGGCACTATTTCTGGGATTGGAGCACATTCTTATATTTTTTGGACTTTTGTTTGAACTTTTTACACATTTATATATATTTTTTGCACTGTGGAGTGTTTATATTTACAGATGTAGGGAGCCTGCTGCAGGGATAAGATAAGAATTACAAGCTAATCACGTATGACAAAACAGCAAGAATGGCACAACCAGGGGCAAACTAACTATTTGGAAACTCGGGCACTGCCCGAGGGCCCGGGGTCAGTAGGGGGGCCCCATGGGATGCTCTGGTACTTTTTCATAGGCTCTTTTGAGTTTGGGCAAGGACACAGGGGCCCCATGATCCCCTATTGCCCGGGGGCCCCATGAGTTGTCAGTCCACCCCTGGGCACAACAGTCTTGTACATTATTATAAACCATCTATTCATCAAAATTGTATAAATATACTCACAAAGGCTGCGTGGCTGTAAGCGTTTAGAATAACCAAAACCACAGTCGCAATTCAAATTGAGGGAATGAATGTCCAATGTAGAAACTTGAGCAACATTCAACAGCAAGTGCGAGAGCTGACGTGTTTTAAGGAGTAAACCCTCTTTGGACATTCATTCTCTCAACTTGAATTGTGACTGAGGTTCTGGTTTTACTAAACGCTCTCAGCCACACGGTCTTTGTGAGTATGTAACGGGGCTTGTCATTAGCTGGCTGTTGGATCCAAATCACCAAGCTCCCGCCCCGCTTCTTCTTGGATAGGACAGGGACTCACCTGCTGGTAGTTGTTAGCCATCACCATATTGTTTCTGACTCCATGCCAGAGGCCATCGCATGTCACCCTCTACCATTGGCCTTTAGATTCTCAAGAAAAGAATGTTCCCACAAAATTATACTTTACCGCTGTTATTAAAAGATGACAGTGACAAATCGTATCACACAGACATACTGTCCTGGGTCACTTGACCTACTGTACCTTGCTATTCACATATAATGGACGTACCCCAGCAGTCAATATGCGAAAGCCACACATTGCACATCACTGAGAAGCCTTCTTCCCTTAGTAACTCTCTCTCTCTCAATTCCCAGGGTCATTAGTACTCACTCAGAGGCTCTGATTTGCCCATTAAGCTCTATGCATCCAGCTTACAACTCCCTTCATGTCGTTTCAGAGACAGGACTGCTGCAGCTGCTCCTCTAGGACCTCCAGGGGAATAGCACTCACAGCAGAGAACACTTAGCTTGGCCTAAAAGTCCTTTTGCATCCAGGCCAGTTAGGCCATGTTCCTCGTCCACTTAGACCATGTTTAGTGAGACAAGACGACTACAGCTGACTCTTCTGGGTGTCGGACTATCTCCCCCTGTCCTTCTGCCCTGTCCAAGGCCTCTGCGTTAGCTGACTACATCTACATGTTGGTGGGGTGTTTGGTTCCTTTGTGTGCACTGGGGTCCTCCCAACCTGGCATATATATATGGGCACCAACTCCACCCATTACATCACTACAGGAAAGCTTTGTCCAAAAGGGACCTATTATTATTATTATTACATCAAGTTTATATAGCGCCAAAGGGTTTGCTCAGCGCTGTACAATAGAGGGGACAATACATGAAACAGTACAGCAACAACAAACAGCACACGAGGGGTTAGAGGGCCCTACTCTTTCGAGCTTACAATCTAGGAGGGAGGGGGTAGTGGTACAGGAGGAAGTGGCTGTGTGGGATGGAGTGGTAGGAGGAATGAAGGAGAACGGCTGTTAGGTGAGGTTGGGGTAGGCTTCCCTGAAAAGGTGGGTTTTCAGGGAGCGCCTGAAGGTGAGGAGGAAGGTGACAGTCTGATGGATTAGGGTAGTGAGCTCCAGAGGATGGGGGAAGGACCTGGAGAAGTCTTGCAGTTGTGCGTGGGAGGAAGAGACCAGGGAGAAAGATAGAAGGAGGTCCTGTGACTAGTGAAGGGTACAGGTAGGGTGGTACCTGGGAATCAGGTTGGTGAGGTAGTTAGGGGCAGTGTTGTGAATGGCTTTGTAGGTCAGTGCGTAGTTTGAATTTGATGCGTTGGGCAATAGGGAGCCAGTGGAGGGAGAGGCAGAGGGGGGTGGCAGAGGTGGAGCGGTTGGTGAGGTGGATGAGTCTAGCCGCTGAGTTCAGGATGGTCTGAAGCGGGGAGAGCTTGCACTGGGGTAGGCCAGTGAGGAGGGAGTTGCAGTAGTCCAGGCGTGAGATAATCAGGGAGTGAACGAGTAGATTAGTGGTGTCTGGGGTAAGGAAGGAGCGTATCTTGGCGATGTTGCGGAGGTGGAGCCTGCATGTGTTTGTAAGTGATTTGACGCCGTGGGAGTGTATGAGTTTGCCAAGGGAGGAGGTGTAGATGGAGAAGAGAAGGGTTCCAAGGACGGAGCCCTGGGGACCCCAACAGAGAGGGGGAGGGAAGGGGAGGTGGCACCGTTGTAGGAAACGCTGAAGGAGCGTCGGGATAGGTACAATATTGCCTGTTACCACACACTATTTTGGGGACAGAGCCACCTAGTAGCAGATTAGCAAACCACACCTCCTTACAAGTATGTTTGTATGTTTTTAATTATTAAATGGCTTTTAAGGTAATGCATAAGACTGTTGAGTTTTGCTATGGATTTCCCCAATCAGAAAAGGGCAGCATAGTCAGAACCATTGCCAGATATCGAATTGAAGATTCTGGCCATCAAGACTTTCCCCTTTAGGGCTGCCTGTTTTTTCATACATTAGTTCTAATGTGGTGTTTCTGTCTACCCTATCCACTTGCATTGTGAGGGGGGCCCCACTGAAAGGGTAATATTTTTGTGTAGTTCCTGGAGTGGGATTTGTGTAGTTCCTGGAGTGGGACTTCAACGCCTGCCATTCAAATTTTGCTTCTCCCCTCTCTATTTTCAAAGCTTTCTTTTTCTAACCTAAGCCCACCTTCATTTAACACCCCCTCCCCCTGGGAGTAAAGACCAGGGAACCAGCGGTTCCGTCTATTGCTACTG